GATTTTGCAGCTTCCATAAAGAAATGCTGCCTTCAAAGTCTGCAATCATGAGCATCTGACAAATTATCAGCAATTATTTTTTTCCAGTTCAAACCACAGACTTTGACTATGAAGGAAGAAGCAAAAGAGATTAGGAAGCAATTCAAAGGATGTTTCTAGGGTCCCAAAGTTTAGTATGATAGAGTCCAAAAGTCAGTATGACACAGTGGCAAAAGTGAAGACCTATATTATAATTTTAAAACGTGGCTTTAACTCAATATTCAGATATTTGCTAATGATGTATCACTGAGCAAGCCAACACTTCTGTAATCCTCTCTCCTAATTAAATTTTACTGCCTATCTCACAAGGCTGTCATGAGGCTATAATAAATGCAAATGATGTCAATCTTTCTTCACCAATATTTTTTAGAGTCAGGTAAACAGATTTTAACTTTTTTCCCCCTTTTCTCAGTATCACTACTGAGGTACATGCCCAGAACTTTTTATTTTGAGACAGGGTCTCATTGAACTGCCCAGAGTGGTCTGGACCTTGCAGATCCCAGTCACCCAAGTGGTGGAATTACAGGTGCATAACACCATGCCTGGCCTTGGAAAAACATTCCTATAAATTCTATGCAGAAATATTAAAGGAACCTGAAGATAGCATTAGCTGCTAGTCAGGTGGACGTAGACTACCCTGAGGTTTGCCATCAACTTGCAACAAAGCATTGAACAAATCTGCTTTACCAATACAAACCTCAGCTTCTTTATCTATAAAAGAGATACTGGTAATACTCTTACACTGTTATTCTGAGGGCTGGAAAAAACATACTAAACACCTTGCATAGTGTCTGGTACAGAATAGGTGCTCAATAATGTAACCAACTGTAAATAAGTTTATTAATGCTTAACAACTAACAAATTATGGTTCTCAATGGGTTTAATGTTTTATTCTTTACTTAAATATTTCTTTTTACTGAATATTTTACTCAACTGCTTTACAACCCTGTGACAAGTTACAGCAACTGTTAAAATTTCCACTGCAGTTAGCACAGAAGTCACAATGATACATTATTTTCCCAAGGTCATGCAGTGACACAGACTAAATTAAGGTCTCATAACTTCCCTACTATTTCATTATTGTTCCATCTTAAGTTATATAACATTATCTCTTAAGGATTAAAGTATCTTTGGAAATTAAGCATCACTTTATTATACACAGTAAAACAAGTTTCCACCCACTTTCTGATTATAACTTAGAAGCACATAAAAAAAGAGCAGAAAGCTGGACCTGGTAGCATATACCTGGAATCCTAGTACTCTGGGAGGCTGACACAGCAGGATTCCAAATTCAAGCCCAATCTTAGCAAGACTCTGCCCCAAAAATAAAAGATAAAAAGGGGGGAAAAAAAGGAATTGAGAATTATTGCAAATTGGCAAATGCTAATTCTACCTCAATTTTTTAGTGGTCTCGATAAGCCAGATAGAAACAAATCCAGTAACTTCACATTATTTTTGTCTTATCAACATACTTGTTTGAAAAAGTATCTCTGAATCGAAAAAAAAAATGCAGCATCTTCCACTTGTATAATCATATTTCTCCATTGCATTCCTTCATTTTAGCTCTTACCGCACCATGTTGTAGTAACCTAGTTCCTTAAGGACTTAAGACTGCTTAGTTATGTACAGCTGAACATTCTGACCCTATCTAGGGCCTGGCACATACTAAATGGCTCAATAACTTTATAACTAATTAGATGAACAAATGAAGTCACTCTCCCAAAGGGGAGTTAGGAAAAGAGAAAATGGGCATGATATGTTAGGGCTAATAAGAAAGTGAAAGAAACAAACCATTTTAAGGATTTCATAAGGAAGAGAAACTTTTGTGTGGAGTCAAACAGGCCCTTGTATGGTTTTAAGTATCACTACAGAAAAGACAAAAACCACAGGAGACTGGAAACAGTTTCAAGTTTAAAAAAACACAAGAGTTAATGTGCTTATTTAGACTTGCAAAACCAAATTGCAAATTTCCAAGAAACATTTCTTGGCCTAGAGTACTTCAACAGTTTTTAGGGTATGGCTAAAGGAAAAAGAATATACATACATACTCTGAAAACTTCTGCAGGCTTTGGCTGGACAGAAGAAAAGATCAAGCTAAAAATGAACCCCCCCCAAATGCTGGGATCTTCCTGAATTTGCATACCAAAATGCGGTTCCTCTTTAATATTCTTGACTAAAACCCCAATGTAACAGCTGGTGGTAAATATGACTAAGCCATGTATTCATTCAATAAATATTTGAATGCCTGCTATGTGCAGTCACTATGCTAGACACTGGACTTAAAGCAATGAACATGAACCAACAAAACTTTGTACTCTCAAGCAGCTTTCATTCCAGTGGACCGTTGAAAGGATACACGGATGGATGCGTGATGGTTGGATCTGATGGGCATGGAATGGAATGGACTGTCAGGAAATAAGTGCTATGTAAGAAGGAAGCAAACTGACAAGATGATAGTTTTATCAAGATCAGATCTTTTAACCTAATAGTTCTTAAAACTTTTACAAGCATCAGAATCTCTTGAAAGGCTCAATAAAGTAGAATTTTCAGGGCCTCAATCTCAGTTTTCCATTTGTAGGTCTGGGATGAGACCCATTAATCCGCTCACAAGGTCCCATGTTATGCTGACTGCCGGTCCAGTGATTACAACCCTGAGAATTATTCCACCCCCAAAATAATCTATCTCATGGGCTTTGACTCAGTGTTCATTCATACATTCATTCAAATATTTTACTCAAAGTTCCTGGAACTTTACTTGACACTAAAACTCAAGAAATTCATACAATAATGGAAAAGGAACAAAACCAAACATAACTGCAGAATGCACAAAGGGCTGTAAGAGTGCTATAACATGAGCCAGAGGATGGAAAAGCAAATCATTTCATGGGAAGAAAAGGAGACACTAAGGGGCTACTTCCCAAAAATTAAAGACTTCTCCACAGGCAAGAGGGTAGAAAGCAGGCATTCCAAGTAAACAAAACAGCACAGGAAGCAAAAGCAGAGGTGAAAACGTTGGTAGAAGCAGAATGTGGGAAAGGCAGCTGCAGACAGTAACAGTCTGACCCCCAAGAGCTTCTGTTTCATGTGGATTCTGAAATTAATCCTTTGACAATGAACAGTTAAGGGGAAGAAGCATTGATGTGATCAGGTTTTGTTTTATAATAATCATTCAGGATGTATAAGCGCCTTCTTTTGAGGCACTGCTTCTTCCTAGCCTAGCACAGGGCCTCAAAACACATGTTCAGTAAATGCATATTGAAATGAACTGAATGAGCTTTTTATCAAGTGCCCTTTTACAGATGAGGGGCCGGTCACCTTGCCTGCAGGGTTCACTTTGGCCAGGACAACAGTCGTAAAACAGGTCCAACAACCTCAATTATTGTACATTACTCTCTGTACAACTTGAGTCCCCCAGAGGGCCTTCATTGTTTACAGGTCTACCTCGCCCTCTAGACTTTGAGCTCCTGAAAGAGAGAAAGTCTCAAGACTGTGGATCCTCATGGCCTTTTGCAGGAAGACTGAATCACAATAGCTGTCCAGGCTCCAGTAACGCTAGATAAAAGAATGACTAAATCGGCAAATTGACCAGGTAGACCCATGAGTCCACGTAGATGGATAACCTAGGTTGCAAAGTCCATGTTCCCAACACTTTTAGAGAAGGAGTTTGTAGCTGAAGTGGAATGGGTTTCACAGTACCTGATTTAGCAATTCCACACAGAAACAAAAATGTTCTAAATGCAGTGGTAGAAAGCCCACTGGGCCTCTGAAGGCTCTACCTGAGAGGGTGGAGGGGCTGGAAGGCAGCAAATATTACACAGATTCTTCAGTGTAATCTTCAAAGCTGAGTAGGCAAAAGCTATTTGTCTGTTTTTGGGACACAAAAGCAAAGTCCTGAAACTTTTAAAGCTGGAAGTGACCTATGCAAGATCACAGGGCAAATAAGTCACAAAGTAAGACACAGGGGACATCTGGTACCAGTGACTCCTGTTTTCTCCTGACAGAATTCAGGGCCCAAAGACACATAAGGCAAAAATATTGGTTTTTCTAGGTAATAGTTCCTAAAACAAACGCAAGACTAATGAATTTGAACTTTTACCAGTAATCACAGTACACAGAACACAGTCAAGCATAATGGAATTATCGAAAAAATTTAGCAAAGAAAGATTCTGTTCACACCAAAAGTACACCCAACAGTTTCCAAGTGTTCTTCCGAAACTCTTTCAGTAGTATCTACTTTTAAAACATTCAAGACAGTGAAGGCTACAATAATCACATCTTTCGAAAGGGAGTAGCATGCGTGAAATGACACTGGTTCTCCTTTCCAGTCTGTTTTTAACTTCCCAACAAGCACCGATATGCGGGGTGGGGGAGGGGCCGCTCAAGTCAAGGACTCGGGTCTTATTTTTCCAAGAGTTGAACCCTAAAAGTGATTCCCCAAGCCTGGGTGGAGTCATCTTTCCACGCAGAGTGAATCGCGTGCCTAGGTGCCAGGTTTCCTCGTCGCGGGCCAGCGCTAGCACCGGAGGACCGCGAAGTTCGGAAGGGAGTGGGTCCGGGTCCGGTACCTGTCCACCCTCCCGGCTCAGCCCGGCGCCTCGCCGCGCTCGCCCGCTCTCGGCGACCGGTGGGCGCCCCGCACTCGCACCGGGGGCCTTTGTTGCCCGACGGGAGCGGCCGGCCTCGGGGCGGCGCCCGTCGCAGCTCACCTGGCGCCCCCGCCCCGCCGCCCAGTTCCCGGCCGCGGGAAGGGACGGGCCCGGCCCCGCGCCACCCGCTCCCCGCACCCGCCCCGCCCGCCGTGGGTCCGGGGAGCGCGGGAGGCCGGGTCTCACCTTCCGCGCCCGCTGGGCTGCGCTCGGCTCCTCCTCCTCCTCCTCCTCCTCCGCCCCGGTGGCGGCGGCCGGGCCGGGGTGAGCGCGCGAGTAGCCGCCGCACGCTCCCTCCTGCAAGCGCCGGGGGCCCCTCGAGAACGCCGACCCGCGAGGGAAGGGACAGCTAGGGCGGGAGGGAGCCGCGCCACGCGGGGCTGAGCACGGCGGGGATGCGAGCGGCTCGCCGGGTGGATCCGAGGGAGGAGGCGGGAGTCGAGGGCGCCGGAGCTCTCTGAGGAGAATCTCCGAGACGGGGACGGCGTGAAGGGAACGCGTCTAGGAGGCGGCCGGCCGGGCCCTGCGACCGGGCGGCGGCAGGCGGACGGGCCGGTCGGTGGAGGGGCGGGGGCGTCCACGGCGCGGCCAGCACCTTCGGCTGCAGCTGCAGCGCGCAATTGTGCGCCGCCGGCCACCGACCGCCTCGCCCACCGGCCCCGCCCCCTCCCCGAGAGGCCGCGGCGCCCGCGAGCCCCGCCCGCCCCGCCTCCCGCAGGTGGGAGGGGGCGGGGAGCGCCGGACGGACCTCGGTGAGCCAGGCCGGCCCCGCGAGGGGAGGCTGCGCCGATGACGTCATCCGCGCCTGACGCAAGAGGCCGGGGATCACCCGGCTTCCGCGTGACGTCATGGGTTCGCGAGGATGCTGCGCTCTACCTGCCCGTGGTCTGCTTCGAAGCAGCCTTCGTCCCGGCAGGTATTTGGCTGAGTTTTGGGAAACTTCGCGGTGTACTCGGGATCGAAAAAGGCAGCTTGGAGTCCTCTTCAAGTTACAAAGCATCACCGCATTCATTAGCTCACTGCCCAAAACTGAGCCTGAAAACTATCCCATCTCCTGTGATCTCAAATCTAGGCAGCTATTATTCTACTTGTTTTCTTTAGGTAGGAAGTCGGAGCAGGAGCGCGAGGAGAGGGGGAAAGAAATTATAACGGAGAAGTTTGAACTGCCCTTAATTGACAAGAACAAATAGGCTCCCTTTCCTGTTTTTCAGCTACCATAGAGGCTACTTTCCTCTCAAACATTTGTCCAGACTTTCCAGTACCTGGCAAACAATATAACTTGCCCTCCTATACAGTACCTCAAATTCGACTTGTCCACAACTTAACAGCATTATTGGCAGGAGTCTGGAATCAGATTGCCTTGCTCCAAATCAGCTATATGAATGTCAGTGACAGGACCTTACAATTTATAAGTCATTTATTTCTTCATACTAGTAAGTACTGTATTCTTAACAGAGCTCTCTAATTCTGTTTTACTACAATAGTGACTGCAGTTTAGCATGTATTATTCAAACGTTGCCTATCACTTTTGCCAATTTCTCCCATATTTGTTTCTCTTCTGTTCTTTCCTGACCTCAGCCAATGGCCCTCCATCCAGGAGCGCTCCCCCCCCCCCCCGCCTGAAATCTAAATATAGATCGCCAAGTCTTCCTCGGTCAATATCCTTATTAGATTGGTCTTCAAGGTGGGTAGCAGTTCCTGCATACTTTTTTAAGTCCTTGGCCTTCTCTTCATTCACTACTACCACGTAGGCAATCTGGACAAACTTTTAGTCTCTCCAAATCGGATCTATTTCTCTCATCAGTAGAGTAGTCCTTTAGATCCACAAACCTGATGATGTCCTTCCCTGTTGAAGCACTTTTCGAAATGCATTTACTGCTTTCAAGATAAAAGTCCAAATTCCTTAACTTGGGACTTCCCACCTAGCTGCTTATACCAACCTTCCTAGCTTTATCTTACACTGTATCTTTTGCTTCAGCAACACCAAAATACTACATACTTCACATTCTTTGAGCACTGCTTCATGACTGAGCTCTTCCCTCCTTATCTGACTGGCCAATACCTATTCATTCTACAAAGCTGGACTCGGAAGTCACATTCACTTATTTATTCAACTAATATTTCTAAAATGTCCTAGAGCCTTAACGATCTGTAATACTCTGGTACTTCCATGTCTTTTAAGGCACCTGGTACAGTTTGTAGGAACTGCCTTTAAGTATATGACTCCATCTTTTCCTTGAGAATAAGTTGTCCTCTTACCCACATGTCCAGAAACTACGCAATGCTTCTTGACACATGGTAGCAATCAGTTGTTAAATGATATCCAATAAATGCTCATAGGTAATAAGTGCCACATAATGTTGTGAACACTTTACAAACACTATCTCCTTAAATCTGTAAACAACTCTTTGAGAGCCAAGATGTAGCTCAGTGGCACAAATAATGCCTACCTGAGTTCGATTTCTGGTACCAAAATAAATAAGCACCTCTTTGAGGTGGGTACTGCTGTTCTCTCCATCTTATTGTTGAGGAAACTGAGGCACAGAGGAGTTCAGTAACAACTCAAGCTCATAACCTAGTAAACTGATTCTAATCTAGACCATCTTTGTGTGGTCTCTCTGGTAGGTATAATAATAAATGGTTCCTCCTAAATGTTCAGATTTGATCCCTGAAAAATCTGAGTATGGTACCTTCCATGAGCAAAAGGACTTTGCATGTGTGATTAAAGTAAGGATTTTGAGATGAGGACTCCCCTGTTCTTGGGAAGCAGACTTCAGAAGATGGGAAAGAAGAAAATGAGTTTTCCTTTGAAGCTCCAGAAAGAAACAGAACCTGGCCAACACCTTGACTGTAGCCTACCAATATCCATTTCAGACTTCTGAAAATGTATATTGTTTTAAGCTACTACCAGTGTGATAATTTATCACACTATCCAAGGGAAACTAATGCAATTTCCAATCAAGGACAGGGCTGCTTTATGTTAGCAAATGGGAGGGGCATACTTGCTAATGTTTGCGTCCATCCCAATGTGCCATCCCAAGTCTCAAGAGACTCACTTCCTACCAACAGGAAATGACTTTAGGATAAGAGAACATTAAAGAGACCTTTAGTGCCCTAACTACCACATTCTGGGTCTCACATTCAGCACAGTTAACTGTCCACCTGCAGAAGGATAGAAATTTTTAAAAATCTTTCATGGAAGTCTTCTGGATTCCACAATGTCCTAAATTGATAGATGAAATGACATAAACCTTGAATTCTCTTTCTTCAAAGCTTTTAAGATTGTTAACAAAATCCAGCCAACTCCATGAAGTTATAATTGACATTTTCCTCATACTATTCAAAGGCTAGATCATGCTTTCTTATGGGGAGGAAGGGATGAGAGCGTTCCCAAGAGAATGGAAATTGGTACTTAGGCAAGCAAAGGAATTTAGGATATTTTAATTTATTCAGACATTGTAATTTTAGATATTACAATGATTTGTGGCCTCTGAAGTGTCAAATAGTAATTTGAAAAAAAAATCTTACTACCATTTCATTTCTTTGGCTAGGAAAACAGTATTTTTCCTCCCTAAAAGGGCAATAATGAATAACAATTAAGACTCCCTATGCTAAGGCTGTTGCATAATTTAATGTAGTCCCTCCATTTATACTTTTCCAACAGATAAAGAGCCTTATTTTTTTCCTGGGGATTGAACCCATGGCATCTTCATGGAACTACATCCCTCGCCCTTTTGCATTTTGAGCTGTCCAGCTGGGGATTGAACTTGTGGAGAGCCCTAGCCATTGTGATAGTACAGTATGTCAGAGGTTACTGCTGCTGGACTATCAACAGTGGTGTCCTTGTTGCCTTCCAATTGGTGACTTAGTTGCAGAGATGTAGGGTCACTCTTGGAATAGTTGCCTAAGTTTTGGTCTCTCAAAACTTAGAACCCATGAGAAATACTTGAAAACACATTGTTTATTTAGAAATAATGCCAGAAAACAAAAGTTAGACAGGGGAAAAGGAAACCCAATTGATAAAATGTTATTGAAGGTCTCTAGAAGCCTGCAGGATACCTCCCAGAAGAGACTATCTGAAAGATGAGAGCTTTTGTATCAGTCATTTTACCATCACTGGAACAAAATACCTCCCACTTATAAGTTAAAGGAGAACTTACCTGGCTTTGGCGTATAGTGGGTTTAGCCCAGGGTTGCTTAGTCCGTAGCATGGCAGAAGATAGCTGCTCACCCCCATGGTGGCCACAAAGCAGAGAGAGAGAGAGGAGGAGGCAGGGACAAAAATAGACCCTGCCAGGTCACACCGCCAGTAATCCACCTCTTTCAACCAGGTCACGCCTTCAAACACATGAGATATATAGGAGAACATTTGGGATGTAAACTATAACAGCTTTTATCTACTGGATTCCATTCCTCACTGGATGAGAATTTTCCCAGAGTTATTGCCCCTGGACTTTGGAGCTTAGATTGCCAGTCTATGTAACAAGCTACCACAGATGCCAGAGACGTGCTGAGGCAGACTAAGGAAAAAGATGAGATGGACGTGAGGTGGCGGACAGGCACCATGAGGAGAACTGGAACTGCCCCCGTCACTGCAGCCAAAATTACACATAGATTAAGAGACAAATACTAGAAGTATTTATCACCAACTATTTGTTTTACCTTATAAGTTATTGTTAGTAGACAATGCCAAATCCATTTTCCAAAATAATTGATCTTATAAATATTCTTGCCAGCAATGTATTAAAAATCTCAGTTATTCTACAAGTTATTCTATATCATCACCAATATTGGTTTTATCAATCTTTTTTTTTTGTACCAGGGATCACACTCATGACCTCACACTTACCAGGCAAGTGTCTGAGCCACTGAGCTAAATTCCGGCCCAATCTTCATTTCTTCCTCATTCTAGGTAATATATAGCAATATCATATTCTTATTTCAATTTGCATTCTTTTTCCCATCACAAATAGGATTTTGTCATTGTTAAAAATCTGAATTTTAATCCTTGAACCATAGAGTTCAGAGAGCTTCCAGACTGTGGACACAGGGATATGCCAGGAGAATGGTGTTCCCGACCTTTATGAGGACAGACGCTTCTGTGCCCACGACCATGCTGAACCTCACCCTGTTGTACATCTTTATTGGCTGCTCATCTGTATCCTTTATGTAACCCTTTATAATAAACTAGTAATCATAGATTTGCATTTCCTGATGGCTAAATAGGCTGGACATTTTTTCATAAAATTTTTAGTCATTGTACTAATTTTGAGAAATGATTGTTCAATTCATTTGTCCAGATATTGTTTGTATTGTTTGTTTGTTTGTTGGGTTTTTTTTAATATATTCCAGACATTAATTTTCTGTTGGGTGAGTAGCTAGCAAGATTGTCTCCCATTTTGTAAGCTGTGTCTTCACTTTGTTAATTGTTTCCTTTGCTGTGCAGCTTTAAATTTTAATGTAATCCTATTTGATTCTTTCTATTAGTTCCTCTGCTACTGAAGTTCTGTTCAGGAAGTCTTTACTTGCGCCTATGCAGGGAGTCAGTTCTGTTCTATTGAAAAGAGCAAAACTGTTCCATACCTCTATATGGGAAGAATGAAAAGGACTCTCCCTTGCTCCATCCCCTGATTGTTCCTTGGCACCACTGTCCTATGTTACATTTTCTGACTTTGCATGAATGTTCACATTACATGCAAGTATGTTGTTTGGTTTTTTCCACCAGAATATTAATCTCTATAAAGACAAGAATGCTTATTTTTTCAGGTGTTTTCTAAGACACTTTCTTTTTTAACTACTATCTTCACAAAGAAATACAACCTATAAATATAATAGACACAAGTTTCAGTGCACCGCTGTGAGCCCTGGGTGCATACTGCTCCTTAAAACACTGAGTTTGTGTGTGCTGCCACCACACATGCACATACACATACACAGTGGTGGATTTTCTTAGCATTTTGGCTTCTAACACAGGATGGATATGTTTGGCTAAATGTCTGGCTGCCTTGATTTTCTCTTGTACTTACCTTGAGACAGACAAGAAATGCTTGATTGTCCACTTTTTCCAGACAGGGGCATGGTTTGGCTGACAACTCTCATGCCCCTCCCCCTTGCTTCCCCTTCCCTCTCTACTGGGCCCCTGAGAGTGGACTGAGGCGGCTTTCCTCAAAGTCTATTCCACCCTGCTAGGGTTGCCTTAAGGCTGCTCTCTGGGCTGCTTTGATAAGAGGTCTGACTGGGCTGTCAGCTGTCATGTCTCTCCCATGCTCCAGGCCAATCCACACTGCCACTTCTTTGCTGAAAAAGCAGGGGAAGGCTGGACATTTTTTTTTTTTTTTTTTTTTTTTTTTACCACCAGGGATTGAACTTCCGACCATGTGCTTGCAAGGTAAGCGCTTATGCTACTGAGCTAAATCCCCAGCCCCAAAGCCTGGACATTATTAACACCCCTAGGCCCAAATAAACCATGATTAACACAGGTAGCCCTCTTAAAAATTTCCCAGTTTGGGTCCTGGCGTTTTTTATAGACACAACAGCTCTCAAACAGCCTTGGCTCCTGACTTTGCAGTATTGCCACCATGACACTTGCAGTTATCCGAGACACCATGCACCTGCATCAGAAGATGTCAGCCCTGATGGAATGGGGCTTGAATTTGAACTAAGCAGTAGAGTTGAATTTGGACCAATCAGTAGGCTCAGTTTGGAAGACTTAGATTAGACCACTTCTGACTAATCACCAGCTCAAATTTGAACCAATCTTAAGCCTACAGCTATTCTATAAGCAGGACTTCCCTTGCAGTTCTTGAGTTGGTCTAAGAGGGCTGTTTCTTGTGTATTGATCCCCCGCTATCATGCAGCACAGAATATAATAAATCTTTGCTCCTGTGGCCCTGTAAATCTACTTGTGACTTACTTCTCCAATAGTATGGGCTCAGAAGCTCTTGAAAATAAATCTACTTGGGATTTTTATCCTGAGTATTGTGGATATAGCAGTTGCTATGGATTCTAGGGGCTATTAGTCCTTAAAAGGTCTAGAGACCAGCAGCCAGTGAAGATTAGAGAACAGCAAATGACCGAATCAATCAATGGATTCCAGCATTAGCCAGGGTCAACCCATGGAGCCCAGTGATGTAACATAAAGGGCTTACAGTGATTGTCACTGAAAACCCAAGTTCAGTTCACTAGCAGAGTTGTACTATTCCAATTCATGATTTCTATCTCAGTCAAGAAAAGAAAAAAAAAAAAAACCCTCTCAGCTAGTCACCATTCCTCATCTGCTTCTGAAAGTGGCTGGAAGGCCTCTGAACACATGGGTGAGATAAGCAAACTTTGATCGTAAGTGAGTAAAAGAAGTTTGCTAGCTTGGAAAAATTAGCTATCATCAGCCCATGAAGATGAAAACTTATTACCACAAAATTCATATGACAAAGCTGAGTCTATGTAACTCAGAATTCTTACAAGAATCCTCCAACCTTTAAAAAGATTTCTTACTGTCTCAGCTTCCTCCCCTCTCTCATTCCACATCTCATGAAAATCCAAAGCCCTCCTCGAGACTTTAGTTCTTTCCCAGCAATGTCTAGTACCCTGATACCTGGTCTCTGGACTTATGAGCTCCCCACCTCTTTCTCTATACTGCAGTGTGGACCCAGATTCAAAACACAGCTCCTTCAATTTTTACCAAAAACCCATTCACAAAGAACAGTTGTCAGGTTAGTAAAATATTCTGAGAATCTGGGGGATTCATCCCCCAGATGAAATTCAAGAGAAATTCAGGAAGAATTGCATCCTAGCAAAGCAAAGAATTCCAAATGGAAGGATTGCACCCACCATAGGTAGCTCCCCGGGTCCTGTACCCCTCTCCATCATGTTGTTTCCTTTTTCTTTCTTCTGTTTTCATTCTACTCCCCATGTGGGCATCTTTTCCCTGTGTCTGCCCAACATTCAATTGCCCATTGAATTTTTGAGCCTCTTCTCTGGCAATAAGCAATGGTTTTCCTTTTTTTTTTTTTTTTAATCCCTTCTCTGAAGTGATCTGAGCAGGGATGATCCTGTGCTATTTCAGTGTTCTAAATCAGTGACCAATCCCAGATCTCAGGGAATCCCGTCTCCATGGTCACTCGGTGTTCAGGGAGAGTTGTGGGTTCTGTTAATGAGTGAAGGACTCCTACCTCTGAGGTCATTGGTAGGAAGGTCATGTTGCTATGGACATCTATACCACCATGTGTACACAGGGCCTACTCAAGATTGAATTATAAACCAGGCTTCATAGTGCATTCCTGAATACCAGTACTCTGAGAGGCTGACACAAGAGGATCTCAAGTTTTAGCCAACCTAGGCCATTTAGCAAGATCCTGTTGAGAGACAGACAGACAGACAGACAGAAAAAGAGAGACAGATTAACTAACTCAGTGTGAAGGCCTGTATTAAATATCCAATATAGGGTGGGGTAAAGAAGAAAAGAAAGAAAAAGAGAGAGGAAAAGTGAATCATAAAGAAAAATTAAGGCATGAAAAGCACTCTGAAATGGCTGAAGTGGGACAATCACTTGAGTCCAGGAGTTCAAGATCAGGCTGGGCAATATAAAGAGATCCAGTCCTATGAAGGGAAAATTCAAATAAGATGGACAAAGCTTGACTGTCTGAATATAAGCACATCTGACTAGATGCCTGTTTTGGTGGTGGTGGTGGTGGTGGTAGTGGTAGTGTTTGATCTTTTTTTCTTAACATAATTTTTTCTTTTTTGTGGAGGTGGTCCTGGGAACCAAACTCAGAACTTTGTGCTTGCCAGGCAGGCACTGTGCCACTGAGCTATATCTCCAGCTCCCCACCCTTTTTTCTTTAGCCACACTGAGTTAAATTTCTCTCATTTGCAGTTGTGAGAGCCAAGCAATACTCTCTTCCTTTCTTCTTTTTTTCAGAAACAGTAAACCAAACTCTTCTCTTTGCTTTATGCAAAGCAGATTCCTCTCCTCTGAGCTGGGCATCTACTGACATCTGAGCCTGCTGGTTATTTCAAAGTGTTTTCACAAAGATAGTCCTCTTCTGATAACATATATTTGTGTCAGCCATTAAGATAAGCTCTTTCTCATTTTATCTCCCAAAATGGTTTGGTTTGGTTTTGTCCTGTTTTTGAGGCAGGGTCTTGCTATGTAGTCAAGGTTGGTCTCCAAGTCACTGTGTTGCCTAGGCGGGCCTTTAAATCACAGTGATCCTCCTCCACCAGCCTCCTGAGTATTACAGCTATGTGCCACCACACCTGGATGTTGCTTTTCAGTTTTTAATCAAGAAATATTTATTTGGAAACTATCAGCCAGACACTGGGCATATAGGAGGTTATAACTCTCTGTTGATAATTTTCTCAAGTCATTAAAAAGACTTTGAAAATGTGTATTATTTTTAACCAGCACAGATATACACTCACATAGATAGTGTTAAAACTAATCCCTTGTAGTTGAATGTTGAGTTTGTTTCCAAGTTTTATGAATAATGGCAGGCACAGAATGCCAAGTCTCTCATTGTTTCCATACAACAGGTTCTCAGAAGTAGGCTTTCTAAAGGAACTTCATATTTTACCATTTTAAAGACACAGAAGGAAATTTACCAAACACTGCATAGTACTGTCTGTCCCACTCGGACTCCACATAGCTGGAAGAGATAGGCCCTCCAGACCCTTCAGATATTGAAGGATCATAATCACTCCTGCTCCCTCTGAGTGTCCCCATTAACTGCCCACAAGGGGCTGCAACTGACTGACAGCTGCCTCATTCTACGCAGCCACCAGTCAACCCCAGAAACCTTGCTGGCATAGCTACAGGGATTGTTTGAAAAAAAATGTATTTGGGCCAGGCATGGTGGTGCATGCCTGTAATCCCCATGCTTGGGAGGCTAACGCAGAAGGATAGCTGTGATTTCAATGCCAGCCTTGGCTACATAGTGAGACCCTGTCTAAAGAAAAAAAAAAAAGAATATATTTGGGGTGAACTTGAAAGGAAAAGATATCAACACAACAAAGTCAGGGCTAATCATGACCAAATTTTCTTTTTAAAAATATTTTTGTAATTTTTCTTTATTTTCCTTAATAAGCATGTGTGATTTATAATGGAAAAAGCTAACTTTTGGGGGAAAATAGTAACAACATGAATTTCTCAAATTTGGTGCAAGGCTGGGATAACCCTCTGGTTCCTGGAAAAGCATCTGTGAGGTATCTA